GGCGACGGCGGCGATAGTGGCGGCGGGAACAACAATTGGGTTGTCCAATCGCTCTCCACCAATGGTAATATTTAATTTCTTGAGTTTTTTTTTTTTCTTTCCATGATTTGTTTTTCTGATAATAATTATTTTGTAAGAATTCACAGAATTAAGGAATAAATAGGTTTTGGTTCCATGCAAAATTTAACTCTTTGGAAATCTCTCTACTTTATCTTCTAAAAACTTTCTTAAATTGGGGTCAGATTCAAGCATACGTCGTTTACCCGTAAGCGACGCAAGAACGAATTGACTTAGTTCACTTGTTGTTGAGAATTGAGTGCCGCACAATCACAAATCCGGTGCCATTAAAAGTGCGATTGTGACAAGTGGCAACACTGTCACGGTCTTACATTTTTTACCGTGCAGCGTTGTGATCTTGACACGCTCACGACTAGCCTTAAAGGGAATTAAGCCCCATATATATTTTTCGCCCCGATTTTGTGGTTTCGTCGGACCTTAGGCGAGGTTTGTCTTGGCTAATCAAACATCGCTTATGCGGAATCCAAGCTTGTTCAACCACACACGCCGCCTGCGTGTGCATGTTCAATTGTCTGCGACACATTCGACTTGTCTCTACACTAGGCCAAGTCATTCGGCTCGACATTGCTTCTGCTCAGGGCCAAAGTCTCTCAATGCAACGTCACATCTCATCTTATTATCCAAGTCATTTGGCTCGACCTTACTTCTGCTCAGGGCCAAAGTCTCTCAATGCAACGTCACATCTCATCTTATTATCTCGATCTCCATCGACATGCAAATCATCACTGTCCATCACCATATTAACACATTTTTTAAGATAGTAGCTCGAAAATATTTTTTATTTAGCAAAATGTGTTAATTGTGAAAAATAAATAAATAAATTCATTGTTTGGATGCATGAAACTAAATTTATAAATAATTTCCCCTGAAATAAATTTAAAAAAAAGAAAGGGATGCTAGCTTTTAATCCTTCAACTTTATACACATTAAAGTTTTAAATTTAAGTGTGCATTAGTTTATTAATTTCAATTATTCATCTCATTAATAAATGATGTTAAATAGACTTTAATTAAGCATTTTAGACTAATATATAAGGAATTAGTATGGTCACACTGCTTCTAATAGATATTAACAACAAGGAGGACCAATAGGATGAATAAATTAAAATACTAATACAAATCATAAAATCATAAAACGAAATCAACATAAATGTGATCGATAGAAGTTTTCAATTGAAAATCTAAAGCGCATTACAACTACCTCGCTCTTCGATCGAGAAACAAATCTTGGAACCAGCAACAGAAATAGGATCATACTGATCATTCAATTATTTGGAAACATCAAACAGCACAGCCATTTGATAAACAGCATTCAATGTGGGATAAACAGCACAGCCATTTAATGTTAATAAAGCAATCATAAAATTAAATTAAGGGAAGAAGTGTGTTCATACAATCCAACGTCCTTTCTTATTGATGATGGCTAAGGTCTTCATAGTTTTTTGCAAAGTTCTTGGCATTTTTTGTAGATGCAAAGATGAAGTACACAAAAAGGCATTGCATAAAAAATCAGAAAAATGCTGCTGCAACCAAAAGGATAGGAACACCCCCACATGCCTAACTCTCCATTTACTTTATTTTCGTAAATAGTTTTGGTGCAACCTGCAACAAAAAGCGTCTTTGAAGTTAGTTAGATCAAGCTTGCCTATACTCAACTTGTTTACGGACAACTTCTTCTGCAATCTAATCTACTTCCTCCTACAACAACCAAAGATATACTCACACATTTGTCGACGCAAGACCAGTAATCAAAATATTGTCCAGTGCAGTGCTTATGGCCACTGTCATCCCCTTGGATTCTCTTCACGCATGCCTGTCACATAGAAACACAATAACCATCAGTTTACCTTATCTTTATACCAATTCTACAATTTAAGACCCCCTACTCATTCCTATACATCAACAAGGAGTGTCATAAGTTGAAACCACATATAGAAGAGAATATATGCACATCCCAATATATATATGTCTCCAAATTTGGGGGGGACTGGTATGCACGGGGAAGCAGATTCACAATGAAAGAACTAGTGATGGAGTCAATGCGAAGCTCAAAGCAGGACATCATGCTTATCAACTAGAATCAGTGAATCATAAATGTCTCAGATTTGGAGAAATATATCTTCAGTTTCGTCCTCAACATTGAGTTGAATTCACAACTCAAAGGAGCTACATTTTGTAAAAGTAAACTTGTTGAGGAAGCTACTATTGCCTCCATGACCTAAATCATTAGCATGAGAGGGCATGGGTCTTTCACCATAATTGCACAAGGACAATTGCGTTTCCCCCACAAGGTTGCGCTAATAACTTTTTGTGGGAACCTGGACTTTCATTAGAGAAATGATAAAACTAGTACCAAAATTTGAATTTCACTCTTGTAACTTTCCTTGGTAATTCTCCAAACAGATCCATAAGCTTAAGTGATTGGTGGCCACTTGTACATTTTATTATTTTCAACCAAAGAAACCCACCCACCACCAAATCCCATCGCAATTCACAACTCCAACACCCTTCACGGCTTTTTAAACTCTAATTTTCTGACAAATGCCACTCCCTTCGAGCTGGCCTTTCTTTCGAAGGAACAGCTCACTGAGTACTAATTGATGCGTCACGAAGAAAGTTCAAAGTTAACAAGGAAATTAACAGTTTATAAATGGATGTACTCAATGGAGAGATACACAATCTTCAGCCTACTGATTATTTCTAATGAGAATAGAAATATAACCATCCATGAAATCAGGTTTCTAAAGTTAAGTCATGAAACAAAAAAACAGAGAATGATGAATACAAGTCAAATAACTGAAGAAAACACATATACAACTTGTTACTCCCCCACAACAAAGACCAATAAAACACTACATACCTGGTATTCAAGTAGTGGTTTCACACACTTGGGCTTGCAAGCTTCTTCAAGATACCTCTTCTGATCGACGGGTTCTTCATCTGCCCTATTACCAAGAAACAAGGAAATGTAGATCAGTTAACATCAAATACAAATAATCTTCAACATTATGAAAGTTAAAGACACAGAGTATGAAGAAGACATGCATGTACAAGTAGATTCAAACCATATGAAGTAATTCAATTTCCATTCTGACATGCTTTAATCATTTGTATTCAGAATGTAATTATCCTACTCATTATTAAACCTTATAAATCATCATAAATATAGATCAGATCACTAAGCCGGTAAAATGCTACATCTTCCAAGTGTTAACACATCTGATTAACATTGAAACTAAATCTACAGCAACCTCATTCTTCCCAAAATAAGTAAAATTCACAGAACTTCTATATTTCATAGTTTCAATTGAAGCAGCAGGGAGATGATATTTGTCATCGTGGTTGTTCAAAAAATCAAGATTCAGAGAAAAATTTGTCTAAGTATGTGCTCAACAGTCCCCCCACTCCCAACAATAACTCTTCCTCTTACCACTATGAGCTACTTTTGAGGGAAGAAATAATGGTTTGGAAATCTATGAATGCAATATAAGAATGCAATAAATGCTAACGAAACAACACTGGACTACAGGGCTATAACTCTAAAGCGATGTAGCAGACAATCAAAACGTCCGTGTAAGAAATAAAAGGGTAAAAAGGAGAATGTATAATAAATGGTGAAGCTAAAAAAAAATACTCACATTGCTAATAAATAACACTGACTTGGAGCAAAAGAGAAGGCTAGAAAACCTGAAAACATTCAAATTTGAATTATCATAAAAACAAGCATCAATACGGAAAAAGAGAAAGAAGAATATAGATGCTAATTGTCATTAGTTGTTTGTGCATAAATGCAGGCGTCAAAATCAATGAACTTTTTTCCATGGATTCAAAATGTCCATAAACCTATCTCAAGCATTCTTTTGAGTAATGGCAGACACAACATACATTAAAATTTGAAATTGACCGGCCACCAGGTCAAACGCAAGCTTTTAAGAGTATCATTCGCTTAAGATAAGATTTCAGGTTCAGATGTTACGCATTCAGAAACGAAGGTACAATAAGAGAATCTCCGTCATTTTGACCAAAGGAAAATCAAATGATTTCAGTTCAATGACACGTACCCACAAATTAAACTGCCTATGAGGTAGGTAATGGTACTCGTTAAACTTAATTCCATTCTAAGAAAAACGGAAAAATCCAATTCAACATTCAAGACTCCAATATCTATCAGAAACGATGAGTTAGATCATACAAACAAACACAAATTTTTTCCCCTCAGATACCAACTACTAACGACGTAGTATAAATACACGTCAAACAAAATCCTCCATCGATGACGAAACTTCAAAGTAAAAGAATCCAATTGATAAAAGATAAAAACACGCCCAGAAACGCGAAAACAGACGATCGACCAATCAAGGAAAATTGAAGACGGATCCGGTAATAAAAATCGAAAACAGAAAAGATAAACTGAGGACAAAATTCATCTAAAGCTCAAAAACACATAAAATTCTCAAACGAGCGGAGTGTTTCTCCAAATGGAATTCATACCTTGGAGGAGAAGCACGAACCTCGGAGAGAACCAGTAACTCTGTTTAGGTTTAGTTTGGAAGTCGAGAAATTGCAATTTGACGAAGCGTCCACTTTCCGGTTCCTTTGCTCTCGGACCGGATCCATTTCGGGTCGGGTCGGGTACCATTTTTAGTCTTAAAATCATCCTATGCTCTTAACAAATCACTTAATCAAATAATTTCAAAAAATTATTTTGTTTTTAAAAGTGCGTTTATTTTAGGGTTCAGAACTTATTTAGCCATCAGTCTAGAACCAATCGGGTCTTAGGACTACCTAAATTCATTCATATGCAACAAAACTTTGAACCAAACGGGATGTAATGAATAATTAATGAAACCCACTTTAAATATGCCAAAATTAACTTTGAAATGAATGCCAAAAATAGGGTTGTCCTAAAATCTTGGGTACCCATTTGAAGCATTTTGGGGAGTATAAATGCCTTATATTCCTCTTCATTGTTTTTCACAATAATAAGAAGAGAAAGAAGTCCTAATTTGGCCTTCTTTCTCTCCAACATCTTCCTCTCTCTCTTTTTAACTCCCTTATAAACATGGGTGGTTGCACTAGCAAGCCTAAAACCATGGAGAAGGAAGCCGTCCTCGCCCCTACCTCTGTTCCCCTTCTTGTTGTTAAGGAGTCCAAGAAGACGAAGGATGATAATGAAGCTAATGAGAAGAAGGTTGAGGTATGCAAGAATTTCAATGTACCCACCATCTTGTTCTAATTTTAATATCAGATTTGAACCGATGACACCCATTTTCAGTCCTCTGCTCTATTTCCTTAACTTCATCTTCATGTCCATGTCTTTTCTTAGGGTGAACCAACCAAAGAAGCAATCCAGGACAAAAAGGAGAAGCCTAAAGAAGAAGACCACAAAGAAGGCGCCAAGGATCAAGCAGCATCGCCTGTCGCCACCACTGCCGCACCTGCGGTGGTCGAAGACAAAAATGCCGCTGTCCAAGTAGCTGCTGTCGTGCCTAAGGAACTCACCGTCCAAGTAGCGGCTATCGAGCATAAGAAACCCGCCGTCGAGGCACCGGTAGCGGACGGTAAACCCGCCGTCGAGGCACCGGTGGAGGCGAAGAAGCCCGCCGTCGAGGCACCGGTGGAGGCGAAGAAGCCCGCCGTCGAGGCGCCGGTGGAGGCGAAGAAGCCCGCCGTCGAGGCGCCGGTAGAGGCGAAGAAACCCGCCGTCGAGGCACCGGTAGAGGCAAAGAAGCCCGCCTTCGAGGCACCGGTAACGGCCGAGAAACCCTCCGTCGAGGCACCGGTAGAGGCGAAGAAGCCCCCCGTCGAGACACCAGTAGAGGCGAAGAAGCCCCCCGTCGAGACACCAGTAGAGGCAAAGAAGCCCGCCGTCGAGGCACCAGTAGAGGCGGAGAAACCCACGATTAAGGTACCGGGAGAGGCAAAGGAACCAAGCGTTGAGGCGGCAGCATCAGCAGCAGTGGCAGCGGAACAAAAACATTAGCAGGAAAAACACAATGAAAATCATTGGAATATGTAACATTTAATTCATTTCATTTTAGAAATTATGAACGGCAATGGCAAATGCTTATAATTCTTTTATTCCATAACTTCCATCCCACTAGTTTTTTCCCCCAAATTAAATTTTATTTATTAATTTTTTTGCCACGTGGCCATTATTTAGCTTGGGACTCCGATAACTTCATTGATAACCATCATTTCTAGTATCGTATGCTCAGAAACAAACGAACCGAAAGATAAGATCTGAAACGGGAGCGGCGATGAAGAAATCTACGGCGGCGACGACGGTGGCGATTCTGTGCTTCATCCTACTCTCTGCGGCAGCGACGACGGTTTCAGCCGACGCCGCAGACTGCATCGACGGCTGCTTCACCGCCTGTGTCCAGAAAGACAGTGAGTATTTTTGATCTTCCGATTTCCTCTCTAAACTTCATCCTTCTTCCAATTGAAACCCTAATTTGTTTCTCTTAGCGATTCTGAAAATCTCTGCGTTTTTCATTTGCATGTAATTTCAGAAATTGGTTTTCGAATCTGTTAAAATTAGGGCTAAATTAACCTAAAAAAAACCCCTAAATTTTATACTTATTTTTATTTATTTAGATTATTAATTAAATAATTATATGACCTAAAAATAAGTAACAAAAAGTATTGTAAAATAAATAAATAAATATAATAAGTAACAAAAAGTTGGCTATGGTGCAGCGAGACTGATGCAGCGTTGTGAGGGCAAGTGCAGGATTAAATGCGGTCCAGGTATTCAAATTAATTTTTATAATTTAATTTAATTTTTAAATTTCCGAACTTTATCTTAATTTAATTTAATTTAATTAAGTTCACCTAATTAAAATACATATATTAGTTTTAAGTAAGAAAAGATTTTTATTTGTTTAAATTAAGAGAAGATTTCATTTATATAACTTTATTAAATGAGATGAAATATGTTTGCAGATACTAAATTTAAAGGCGAAGATATTATGGCTTAAAAGCAACTGAGGAGAGAAATAAATAAGGAAATATAATTATAAATTAACGTTTCTCGTGTCTTAATAATCATTGTCGTGTTTGTAAACTCTAAATTCTCGTCAGGATTGTGTAATGTTTTGTGTTTCTAATTAATATGTTTTTAAGTCTGGTTTGATAACTATCTATTTATTTTTTTAGCGTTCGTATTTTTTTAAAAAAATATATTATTTATTAAATAAAAAATAATATAAAGTAAGCTTTATGTATATATTTTAAAGTTGAATAAATGATTACGAGTCAAATGATTAAATGATTAATATTTAAAATGATAATTAAAATATTATTGGGTATGGATAGTTATATTTTAAAGTATTATTTATATAATATTTTCAAAATTATATTATTTGATTTAAGAAAATTGTTGTGAAATTGAATTAGGTTGAGATAAAGACGTAAAGCAAATAAAATGTGTAAGAAAATGTTATATAATATTTATTTATAATGTATCATTAAATATAATAAATAATAATAATAATAATAATAAATATTTGAGGTTCTCGGAAGTTGCCTGATTTTCCACGGACCAATCGTTGCGTTAGCGTGGCAGCTCCTTTATTATGGTCAAAGTCAAACTCAAACCTAACGGATCAATCATATCAACCCGACCCGACTCTCGAATAACCCGACCCGGTTTATTGGCTGACTTTTCGAATTTAAATTTTTTTAAATATATAAATTAAGAAATGAAATGGTAATTAATGTTTTTTTTTTCAATGGAAATTATGGTTGAATTTTGTGGATTTATCTCCTTTTTTTAACCATAAAAAAAGAAATTCAAAAGGCATTGGGTCACTTTAACAACGCTCTTTTGTAATTTTTTAATTCTATTTTGACGGTTTTGACTTAGAAAAAGGGTAACCACGATGCATTACTATACAAAAGATCGAATGTCTCGAGCTTGATGTAGGTAAAACAATGGAAATGGTATACCTTAGATAAACTCTAGTCTCGAACAACATCCATACAAAAGTCATAGATAAATTCAAGATCCAAGAGTCTCGATCTGAATATTGACTTAGACGTAAGTTTTTCATTCACGTGGTTTAAAGATAAGGTCTCGTGTTTCACTTGATTTTAATTCTAATTATCGTGTTATAATTTTTGAAAAAAAAACATGGATTAAATTTTAAGAAATGAAATTATTAAAAATCAATTAATTATTTATAAATATATATAAATAAATAAATAAAGGGAAAAGGAATAAAATCACATGGGAGAGGGAGGAAGGAAGGAAGCAAGTAATGGAAAGTACAATTGACTTAAGTGAGAGGGACACACAATAGGAACGACCGCAGAGGATCAAACCCTACAATGAACAATTTATTTTCCTCGTCATCAGACAATATAACGAAAAAGTCAAAGGCCCAAATGGTGATGAATCGTTAGTGGGAATTATATTAATTGAAAAAAAATGAGAGAGTTCAAATTCAATTTCCAATAATCACCCAAAACAAAAAGAACAGATTTTTTTGTGAATTTTCCATTGGATATTACTTGAAAAGGGGTGGAAAATGGAATCCAGTGTATCTATTTTGCCCTGGTCCTTGATTGTGAGCTAAATTCAATGACCCTTTGGGGTCCGCTCAAGAGAGAGAAAGATGAGAGAGAAACAGGACTTTTTATTGCTCCAGACGACGACGACGACTCATAAAGAAGGGTCTCATGTAAATGTTCAAATCCAAAGCCTTAATTTCATCTTACCTTCTTTGTGTTTCCATTTCTGGGTTTTGCTTCGATTCAGGTTTGTTCTTCAAAACCCACCTCTGTTCTTCTTTTACTTTCCAAACATTTTCCCAGATTCTCAAACCCTTTCAATTTCCTCCCAAAATGTTGGGGTTCGACTTTTTTAATGATGCCTTGTGCCTGTTTCTTTTAAGGGTTTTCTCTGTTCTAAATGGTTCTTGAAATTTCTCTGTTCCTTGTTCTTTGTTTTACTCGCAGATCTTTCATTGTTTGTTCTTAGTTCAAAGTGTTTGATCTGAGTTTAGCTGACTGGTTGAGCTTGAAGCTTCTTTTACAGGTTTGTGTTTTGGGTTAATCGTTTGTTCTTGATGTTTGAAGATGGGTTGTTCTTTATTCTTGCTAATTTGTTTAGTAAGTGCTTTCAGATGTTGAATTTTGACTAAGTTTTGTGATTCTGTTGGTAATTTGATGCACTTTCTGCTTGGTTGTGTTTGGATTCTTCTTGTGTTGTGAGGGGAAAAGCTTATGGATTCAGCTTCTTTCATGTGTTAGATCTGTGTAGTTTCTTTTAGAGCCCGAGCTCACTGTTAGCAGATATTGTCCTCGGCTTTCCCTCGAGGGTATAAAACGCGTTTGCTAGGGAGAGATTTCCAAGCCCTTGTAAAGGGTGTTTCCTTCTTCTCCCCAACTAACGTGGGATCTCACAATCTACCCCTTTTCAGGGCCAAGTGTCCTCACTTACACTCGTTCCTTTCTCCAATCGATGTGAGACCCCCACCAAATCCACCCCTCTTCAGGGCCTAGCGTCCTTGCTAGCACATCGTCTCATGTCCACTCCTCTTCAGGGCTTAGTCTCCTCACTGACACATATGACACTCGCTCCTTTCTTCCATCGATGTTGGACCCCCACCAAATCCACTCCCTTCAGGGCTCGGTGTCCTTGTTGGCATATTGCCTCATGTCCACCCCTCTTCAAGGCTTAGCCTCCTCACTAGCACATCGCCCAATGTCTAGCTCTGATAGAAAGGTTCGTTCCATTCTCCAACCGATGTAGGACCCTCAACAAATCCACTCCCTTCGGGGCTCAGCGTCCTTGTTGGCACATCGTCTCATGTCCACCCCCTCTTCAGGGCTCAACCTCCTCGATGACACATCGCTTAGTGTCTGGCTCTGATAGAAAGCGTGTTATTTGGCTAGATTTTCCGTTCGGAATCGGTGGAGTAGTTTTGCTTTCCATTGTATAGAGCAATTAGGTTGGAGCTAAAGAGCCTTATTGAGTCATGCTTGTTAATCTTAGCCTCTTTAGACTTTATGTTGCACTCTAAAGCACCTTTCTTTTTTATTACTCATCTCTTTTCTTTCACTTTTGGCTCTTTTCTTGCTCTTTTTCCCCATCTTTTTGCCTTCATTTACAAGATTCTTAGCCACTTTACGAGTTGCTTTGTGTCCATCCACAGCCGTAGCCACATGACAACCGGTATATAAACTACCACGAAATTGTTGAAGAGACGTCGAGATTTATCATCGTTCGTTTTGAGTAAAATGTCATTCCGAAGTATAGTTCGTGATGTGAGGGATAGCATTGGGAGCTTATCTAGACGGGGTTTCGAGGTCAAGCTGAGTGGTCATCATAGAGGAAAGTCCAATGCATCGTCGTTAAACGATCTACACGACCAGCCTCCTGTTGTTCAGAATGGCTGCTGGGCTAACCTTCCACCTGAGCTGTTGTATGATGTCATTCGAAGACTCGAAGAGAGTGAAAGCACATGGCCTTCACGACGGAATGTCGTTGCCTGTGCTGCGGTATGTCGTTCTTGGAGAGTTATGTGCATGGAGATCGTTAAAGGCCCCGAAATTTGTGGCAAGCTTACCTTCCCTGTGTCGCTTAAGCAGGTACGGTTCTTTTAATATACCTAAAGAGAACTTCATACGCCAAATATTTTAAATTCTGTACTTATTGAACGTTTTTTTTTTTCTTCCTTTTAATCTTATAGCCCGGGCCACGCGATGCGTCGGTACAGTGCTTCATTAAGAGGGATAAATCCAGTCTAACATACCACCTCTACTTGTGTCTTAGCCCTGGTAAGAAATATGTTTGTGCCGTTCTTACCTCGATATGCTTATTTTTGGCATTACGACAGCAACGTTTTTCTGATTAAACTAAACGCTCGCTCGACAAGGCTTTTCTGTCGTGTTTGTTATTAATCCCCAGTAAATAGGTTCGCCTTTTGTATCATTTTGTAGCATGCTTATGTTCACTCGTTCGTCGAAGTTATACTTGTTTTACGCATTCCAAGGTCCCACGAAACCGTTGAAACACGAATGACCATGTTTTATGATCACAATGAATTGCATTTCGCGTCTTGTTCTGCTGTCGTTCCTGTTATTGTTGAGCTCGTTCTGTTTATAATTTGCGGTACTTCGATCGTACAGCTCTGCTCGTCGAAAATGGGAAGTTTCTTCTTGCTGCTAAGCGTACACGAAGAACTACCAGTACAGAGTACGTTATCTCAATGGATGCAGATAACATTTCGAGATCTAGTAGCACGTACATCGGAAAGCTTAGGTGAGACTACACATACACGGACAAATAATGATTTCGATCGATAACTCTGTTAGAACGTTATCCCAATGGATCGTATTTTAGTTCGTAAACTGCATTTGTAAGAGTTTAAATACTTTTCTTCGAAGTCGAGATTTAGGTTGATCGTGAAAAGTCAATATTTCTTTCCTGACTCAGCGTTCATGTTTATTTCCAGGTCGAATTTTCTTGGCACGAAATTCATTGTCTATGATACTCAACCACCATATGCCGCTGCGCCGCTCCCTCATCCCGGGAAAACTAGCCGTAGATTTTACTCGAAAAAGGTCTCGCCAAAAGTCCCAACTGGCAGTTACAACATAGCCCATATAAGTTACGAACTAAACGTCTTAGGCACACGAGGACCTCGAAGAATGCATTGTATAATGCATTCGATACCAGTAGCAGCTCTCGATGCAGGCGGTACAGTTCCAGGCCAACCCGAGCTCCTCCCTCCCAACTCCCTCGACGAATCGTTTCGGAGTGCATCGTTCTCCAAGACACTAGATCATTCCATGGAGTTCAGTAGTGCAAGATTTTCCGAAATCGGCCGGGCAGCATTAGATGGCGACGGAGAGGGAAAGATGAGACCTTTAGTTCTTAAAAACAAGCCCCCAAGATGGCACGAACAGCTCCAATGTTGGTGTCTCAACTTTCGCGGGCGAGTAACCGTTGCATCGGTGAAGAACTTTCAGTTGATCGCCGCAACTCAGCCAGCTGCTGGCGCTCCAACACCGTCTCAACCAGGTCCTCCCGAGCACGACAAGATCATCCTACAGTTCGGGAAGGTCGGTAAAGACATGTTCACGATGGACTACCGATATCCGCTCTCGGCGTTTCAAGCCTTTGCAATATGCTTGAGTAGCTTTGATACCAAATTGGCTTGTGAATAAAGGAAAGTATCCAAAGCTGTTTTATGCCTCTTTTTTTAACTTTTGGATTTGAGTCTATTAGTTGTGTTCCTCTTTGTGTCGTTTCAGGGTTAGGTTTTAGTGAAATAGTTTGTTATTGTTGGGGGCATTTATGTAAAAGTTACAATTGTAACAGCTCTTACATGTGCAAACTCCTTAACTTTTCAAAGAAATGAACACAATCCCCTTTTTACCCATCTTTTTCTCTTTAAAATGCTTTGACAATAAAGTAAAAAAGGCCAAAAGTCTTGGTTTTTATGTCCAAAAGCTTGTATAAAGATAGTCTCACGGTCTTAAAACGTGTCGATTACAGAGATGTTTTCATACCCTTATAAGAAATGTTTCGTTATCTTCTCGAACCAATGTGGGATCTCACAGTCTACTCCCTTAAGGGTCAGCATCCTTGTTGGCACATTACTCGATGTCTGATTATGATACTACCATTAGTAAATATTGTATGTTTTAGCCCGTTACGTATCGTCGTTAATCTTACGGTTTTGAAACGCGTCTATTTGAAAGAGGTTTCCACACCCTTATATGGAATGTTTCGTTCTCCTCTCCAACCGATGGGGGATCTCACTATCCACTCCATTGGTGGCCCCAGTGTCATCACTGATACATTACACTACACCCACTATTAATAAATATTGTCCTCTTTGACCCGTTGCGTATTGCCATCAACCTCATGGTTTTAAAATTCGTCTAGTAGGGAGAGTTTTCCACATCCTTGAAATGAATGCTTCACTCTCGTTCTCTCCAACCGATGTGGAATCTCACACAACGAAACAAGACAATCCAATTGTTCTAAATCAACTCAATCAAATCACGAACTAGTAGACAAGATTTATAATTTGAATCCGATAACAAAGTTGCCAAAATATAAAAGAATAAAGGTTTGAGATTCTCCCAATTCTTTTTGTTTTAAAATTTGGGAATCAAAAGGCATTGCTTTTGAAGGACTCCTTTGCATGTGATGTTGCTTACTTCTTACTTTTTCTTTCTTTTTTTTGTGTACATTTTTCTTCTTCCTCTCAAAATCATTCATTCCATCTCTGTTGACATTAAAAGACCAGAGATAGAGAGTGAAGAAAATAAGTAAGAACAATCATAAGCTGAACCCATCAAATCCACATTGCTTCGAAGTCAACGACTGATTCCTTGGACTTATCACTATCGAGCAATCCACCGACACCTGTCGTCATTCAAAATATTTGACTACACAACCATAAACAAAAACTCGTACAGAATCACAAGAACATAATGAACTTAACACGATAAAACTTGATCATGCAACAACATAAATTGAGTAATGGCCAGGACTTGAGCTTGACATTTTCTTTAAGAAAAAATATTCATTATTCCTCGACCCGATTCAATGGTAAAATGGGAATATACTTATATTTAAAAAGGAGTACGAGAATTTGAATCAAACTAATTAAACACAATGGGTATGTAAAAAAGATGATATTATTATTATTATATTAGGTAAATAAATAGGGACAAGACATGATGAGTAAATAGGTTAAATAAATAATTAAAAAAAAACTCCCAAATGTGAAAGGGTTGAAAAAACAACGCAGTTTTATTCGGTCGGTGTGGCCCCCACCATTTTGTCGTAAAGCAACTAAGCGGCACCGTTTTCTTCGGCAGCGGTTTCCCAATGTTTTATCACTTTGACTTTTTAATACTTTTTTTATTTTAATTTTATTCTTTTCAAATAATAATAATTTTTTTTACGGAAGAAAAACAAAATGTAAATATGATTAATAAATATAAACATATATATATATATTTAAAAAAACAACAATAACAATTGTTGAATTTAAAAGAAAAAATCACAATTATTCTTGTCTTTTTTTTTTTTTTTTTTTTTTTTTTTTTTNTTTTTTTTTTTTTTTTTTTTTTTTTTTTTTTTTTTTTTTTTTTTTTTTTGGGATTGAGAATTATTTTGATTAGCTAATTGAGGCATAGCCTTTTGTACTTCTGTTTTTATTCTTTTATTTTGTCTATTATGCTAATTAAAAGTTGGATGTTTTTCTTTTTTAAAATAATAAATTTCTATATGGATAATTCAAAGTATTAAACTAATAAATTGAAGCTTTTTTATAAATAATAATAAATCCTTAAAACACACTGCCCCCTACTATTATTAGCGCGGCTTCCTAACTCACATTTATTTTTTCTATTAAAATATTCAGAAGTTTAATTATAAACTCTCCTTACCAGTTTAATTTAATTTATGTAATTTAGCCTTTTAACTTTTGTTTTTTTAATCCACTAATTTATGGATCATTAAATATAAAATATACTTTTGTTAAAAATAAATAAATTAAATAAATAGGAAGCACAAATTTGATAGACTAAATGTTAAAATTATAATTTTAAAGCTAAAAAAAAAAAAAAGGGAAGCGGGAGGAAAATGCGTGCAAAAGAAGACGAGAAATGGGAAGAAAAAGGAACTGACCTGAACGCCGGGAGAATCGAACTCCAATACGCGGATCCTGGCGCCAACTTCGCCCAAAACCCTCAGCTCCACTCGATCGTTCAACGACGCGTCTCTGATCAAATCGGCGGCGTCCGCCTGAAGTAGATTCACCCGATCGACGGCGATCATTGCCTCCACTTCTCTCTGGCTGTGCGCCTCTTGGTAAAATCCAGGCACTATTGCTTTTCCTAGCGGAATCCCGCGGTACATCACTGTGAACCTTGAATTCCCGTATTTGATTCCGACCTTGTTTGGATTCACTGCCGTGAACAGCAATCGAATGTTGAGCGATAGCGCTGCGGAGGTCGTTGTCGGCGTCGGCGTTGTCACGGTCTGTGAATCGGCGGAGGATAAGGAGAAGAGATTCGGAGTGGTTATCCCCATATATTGAACACCGACTCGCTGGAGATCGAATTGAGGCTTCTTAGGCTTGACAGCGAGAACGACGACGAGGACGATCGCGAGAGCGAGGAGAGCGATGAAGGAGAAGAGGAGGCAGAGGCAGCAGCAGCAGCCTCGGAAGGAAGCCGATGAGGAAGACGACGTCGTGTCGTAACCAAAATGTTGCTGACGAGATAACGGTGGCGACGAGGGCGGAGACGGAAAGCGAGCATTCTGAGAGTCGGAATTCGGCCTGGACGGTGGCATTGAAGGAAGAGGAGAACGGTGAGTGTCGTGTTGGACATTAAAGGGAGCTCTGGACGGTGGGGGTGGAAGAGGACGGTGATTGTTGTTGCTTGGTCCTGCTCTTACTCTCGACGGTGGCGGTGGAAGAGGACGTTGCAGGGGGTTATTGCGGGAGTTCACATTAGGCCGTGACGTCATCTCCTCCATGGTTGATTAAGCTCTGGTTTTCCTGTTTCAGTGAATCCTTCGGGTTTTCTAGACAGGGAAAGAGACAGAGAGAGAGAGAGAGAGAGCTTGCAGTGAGAATGTGCGTGGCTTTGGATACTTTGCTTAATGCTCAACTAAAGCCACATTGTGTCAAAAGTAAAAGTTTCTGACTCTATCTTCTATTTCCCTTTCTTTTCTTTTCTTTTTTCTTGTTCATAATTACCTCAAACAAAAATACTTGACAATTTCTTTCTATTATTGAGCTCAAATTTGATGCAAATTTGGTTTTAATTAGTTAAAAAGCACTTGATCTAAAGATAATCAAGAGCATTGTAACTGTCCCTTATGATCAATAAACTGAAGCTTATATAGTAAGGTGCAGCAGTGCTACCATGTTTAGCTGAACATGCTCTTCCTAAGAAAACAATAATTCATAGAGCATTAACTACCTGACCTTTAGTTAAAAAAAAAAAAAAAAAAAAAAAAAAAAAAAAAAAAAAAAAA